CAATCGGTATTAAATTTCACAGGAACTTACACTAATAAGAGAAGCTAAATAAAACGGTCTTTAAATAGATTGATTTATAATAGTTAATTATTTATCACTTACTTGCAGTCACACCTGTAACATTTCGCTACGGTGCCCCCCTCTTAAAACTTTGCGTTTCGCAACACGGGTTATTTCGATAGCGGTACTTGCGCGATCGCCCTCTTATTCATCTTCTATTTTCGAAGAAGAAGCAATTAACTGTTTTACGAAATGGTTGCGGAGTTCCTCTAGTGTCTATGATTGAAATGTCCACACAGTTTCCTTGAAACACTACCTCCAGCATATTGCGCACGATGTGCGAGTTCTAACATCCGATCTTTGGAATACCGAATTTGTAACGTGATGTTTTTAAGCAGAGACCCGGACCGAAAAAGAACCGAAAACCGGTATAGTTTCAGGACCGAAAACCGAACCGAAACCGAAACGGAAACTTATTGAGAACCGGAACCCATACTATTTTTTTCGGTTTTTTACGGTTCTTAACAGGTTGAAGGATGCGTCGATAAAATATTATACTCTATGATTGCAATCGGTGGATTATAAATTTTTAATAAAGTGCCGGGGGCGGTAATTTAGCCACTACTGCAAATGTAAACAATAGCACGAGGGGCGATGTTTTAGAAAATAAAAAAGCAACGCTTCATACATAAATTTTTTTCGTAAGTTTTTGTGTATTTTTGCGATTTTTTTATTAATAAATTAAGTTTAAATAGACATTTCTCCCTTTTTCCTTTATTCCTCTTGTCTTTTTAAATTAGCTACACTCGATATGTCACGTTTTGGTATTCATGATGAATTTTTTGCATGCCGTACTTTCTAAAAGACCGAAAAGAACCGTTATGGACCGAAAAAAAATGCGCAGAACCGCACCGCTATTTTTTTAAGAACCGAAACCGGACCGGAACCGTTATAAATATTTTCGCTTAAATATAAACAGAACCGGAACCGATATTTCATTTATTTTATTTTATTTTATTTTATTTTATTTTATTTTATTTTATTTTATTTTATTTTATTTTATTTTATTTTATTTTATATTTATTTTGTTTTATTTTATTTTATTTTATTTTATTTTATTTTATTTTATTTTATTTTATTTTATTTTATTTTATTTTATTTTTATTTTATTTTATTTTATTTTGCCTTTATTTTTGAGTGGGCGGGGTTTCAGCCAAGGCTGCTCTACCAACCCAACCCACTGTACATTTACAAATATCCATGCCAGAACCCGGATTCGAACCAGGGACCCTTAGCACCACAGTTCAGATTTAACTGAACTGCACCACACGGGCCGGGGTCAGGGTTCCTGGTTTTAAGTGCTGGAGAACATTTTAAAAGTCCTCGTAGCTAGACTTGTCACAGAGACAATAGAGGAATCGTTCATGCTTCTGTAGGAAACACGCTTCATCAACCTAGGACGGGTTTCAACTCTAAGTGTAATGGTACCACCTTTGAGCGTCAAAATGTAACTGTAGTTGCATTGTAGGGTCTAAACGCCCTTATAGGTTTTTGCGGCGCGGACGTATTTTTTGTTTGCCCTCTGGGCAGTAAAATGCGCTGTTAAGGAGTGGAATTGAAGACGGCGAGTTAAAAAAAAATGGAATCACTAGTGAGCAGTGCAAACACAAAAACGATTTAATGAATTTCATTAACGCTAAACTTTTTTAACTCGAACTTCTTATCTACGGCCGGAGAAAATCACGAGATAAACTTTTACGAGCTCCTAATACAATTCAAACAAATGTCCCATATTTTTCCTTTACAAGACAATAAAACCACGCAAATTTACAAAATATATTGTTATGTAACACGCAGCACTTTCAATCACGATGGACCATCTTGGATGTTAATAATTTTAATTGTTTAAGTTCAATCTGGTGCAGTGTTATTTTGATTATTTCGTTTTGAATTTGAATTTCAGTGTTTATTTTTTCCTTTTGGAATTTTTGCATTGTCTAGAATTATCGTTTTTGTAATTGATTAATTTAGATAATGTTAAGAAGTGTTTGCCATTTGGTCGTATTTGAGCGTTTTATTAAAAGGTTCATCAGGTCAATGCGATAAGGGCATTTGTTATCACGTTGCGTAAGGTGATAGTTAGTTAGTTTCAAGATAAGCAAGAAAGGTAGTTGATTTAATGTACGATGTCATGAAAGGAATTAATCGTGTTCGTGAAAAACGCATTATCCGCAAGAAAAGTATAATAGTTTGAGTGGATATCGGCAAGCATATTTGTAAACGGCATGTATGTGAAATTTGACCATTCTCCACAACAATTTCGGAATTCCGAATAACGATTGAATGTGTGCCATAATGGTCTAGTGGCAAGGATACCCGTGTTGCAATCGTGCGGTTCGGGTCGGACATTAGGTCATTACAGATCGCCTTCAAGAATTTTTTGAATAGCAAAGTTATGCGCGGAGTTTTCCAAAGGGATAACGGGTCTGCTTGTTAGACTTAAATGAAAATGAGTTCACTAACTGAAGCTTTTTTCTGTGGTAACCTACTCCTACGGTTAGGCAACACACCTTTACGTCTGAAACAAAAATACGGTAAGCTCTGTATACACACCAATCGTGCTACGTTTTCGATTTTCACCGGTTTGCACTGATGCCGAAGGCCAGGGGATTTTCCCTCTCTCCTGTTTATCATGTCCGTTCCACCTCCTTATTCTATTATTTCGTTAAAATACGCAACAATTCTTATCTAAAGCACAACAGCTGCGACCACAAAGTAAATTAATTTTTGGCGATAAGCAGACTTCTTATCTACGACCGGAGAAAATCACGAGATAAACCTTTACGAGCTCCTAATAGAATTCAAACAAATGTGTCATATTTCTCATTTACAAGAAAGTAAAACCACGCAAATTTACACAATATATTGTAACACGCAGACGTTATTTTGGCTTCAGCACTTTCAATAATGATGGACCATCTTGGATGCTAGTAATTTTAATTGTTTAAGTTCAATCTGGTTCAGGGTTATTTTTATAATTTCCCATGTTTCCCCCTGGCGCCCACAGTGTATTTCCCATTGTTGTTTGGCACGATCTATCCAATGGCATATTGAAATTTCCTGTGTCACTTCCGGTTAAACCGAAAATCGATCAATTTACTGTGTGACGACATAAAATATGCATATGGTTGATGTATAAATCATTGGAGAAATTCGTGATTCAGTATTTAGAAAACTTATAAAATGTAGCATGCCGTGTGCTGTCAGGATGCGCGGTGTCTGTTATGTGACACGGGGAGACAAGGGTGACGCGGAACATTGAACAAGTTGATGTAGGTCTTTTCTGTGTAACACAGCAGTGACCGCGCATCTTGACAGCACACGGCATGCTAGATTTCATAAGTTTTCTAAATATTGAATCACGAATTTCTCCATGTTATGGTATATTAACCATATACATATTAATGTCTCCCCACTCCAACTGTTTTTTACTTGTAGGTTTTCTGGTATCCATTCCTACGCGCTTGCTCCTTCCTTCCCTTTGCCATATTTACTCCTTTTAACGTACCTACTTTATATTGTCTCCTTCCACTTTCTCTTCTAGTTCTGCTATCGCTTCCATCATTTCTTGTTCTTTTTTTTTATCCTACTGCTCTTCCCTTCTCTTTACTCCCTCCCCTAACCCTCTCATTTTCTCTATCCCCTACTATTTCATTAATCTGTTTGCTCTCTTGTTTCATTAGCCTCCTATCAATTTTCCATTACTTCTTGTGAATGATCAAAATTCCCATTAGGCATATGACTCTGTAAAATCCTGAAAAGCTTTAAAACGTCTTAGGAATCTTCTTAGAAACATTCTTTGTCTCTTGGAAACTTGGCCCAAAATTCACCATTTGTCTAAAGTCTAAAGCGCAAATTTCAGTGTATGATGCTCTAAATCCAGAATTTTGGTTGTAAAATCTCTACTTCTCATTTTCCTTCGTGAGTACCCTTCTCCGTCCTCGAGATATTCATTTTGACTTCAGTAACAGACATGTTAAACCAAACGTTCTAATCGCTCTGTATAAATACTCTCTTTTGACATTCCTTTCTCGATATATTCGCACTCAAAGCTTTGCCACCAATAGATGCCTCATCCAGACGTTCCATTTTCCATTCGTAAGTACCCTTTTCCGACACCCCGTTCTCTAGATATTCGCACTTAAACTTATGACATACATAGATATATTTCGTTAAAGACGTTTCATTTTTCCTTTGTAAATCCTCTTTCGACACTCCGTTCTCGATATATTTGCAGTTAAAGTGCTAACTGAATCATTAGATATGTTTTGTCCAGACGTTCCATTTTCTCTTTGTGAGTACGCCCCTCCGACACCCCGTTCACAAGATATTCAACTAAGGGCCCTCTGTAGGGGCATGCTTTGGCCAGATGTTCCAAGAGCCCTTTGTGAGTACCCTCCTCTGACATTCCAAAAATTGTGGGCAAATATTGAGCTTAAAGAAAAGCGAAAAACTTCCTCTCATGCGCATTAAGTAGACCAGTTTACAGCTCCTCTTTTGTGTCTATCTTCTGACCTAATACTGCTCATTCATGAAATTTGGGAAAACCTTACAACTGTAAAACGGGGCTCCCGTTACAATGCGTCACAACCGTTTAAATTTTGGAATTTTGGAAGCTTGATGGCGTCCACATTGAGGTTAGTTTGAAAAATAAATGCGTGATGTATGTGCCATTGTGACCATTGTACTCATTTTATAAGCAAATGCTATCTAAAAATTTCGCACACGTCATCCTCGTCGACTAGTTCTGCAAGTGTTTATTTTGGCAAAGGTCATTAAGTGTTTAAAAGTTTTGGTAAGATGTTTTATTTACAAATAATAAATAAAATAAATAAAATAAATAAAATAAATAAAATAAATAAAATAAATAAAATAAATAAAATAAATAAAATAAATAAAATAAATAAAATAAATAAATAAATAAATACAAAATGCGACAAGCTTAAGTTTTCACGACAGATCTGATCCAGGGAATGTAGTCCGAAACACGAGTGTAGATCCCTGGCAAGGACGGTCTTGCACAACCAATTCCAGTAGACACCACGCCAACTACGATAATCTTTTCACCACTATCGGATGTAGTCATAAGCGGTCCACCACTATCAGCCTGTGGCACGATCCGTTAGTCATCATCAAGCTAGTTCTTACTGACTTACCCAACAGGAATCAATACCGCCTTGTTCGTAGCCAGCGCAAATTTGGGTCTCTTGGATCTTCGTCTTCTTCCCCTGCGACTTAAACCACCGCTGACATTGCTCCCTTTCCAAAATGTTCACCTTGGCCTTCTGCAATCTGTCCCCTCTACTACCTGTAACGGTCCAGCATCAGAAATCTGCAGCTCACAACCCGCTACTGTACCCAAGTTATTATTTTCGTTGGTCCAACCCCACCCAGCCACCGTTGCTAAGACGTCCACGAACCGATTGTGGCCGTCTTCCTGCAAACCAGCGGGTAGGCAGGCCGGGTGGACAACGTCGGACCATTTCACCTGTCGTTCGAGTTCCAAAATCGCCAAGTCGTTTTTGACTTTGCCGCAAGTGTAGTCTGGATGCAACGTTGACGACTTGACCGCCACCTCGAATTTTTCCGCCGACTCTTCGCTCAGCACGTGCTGCCCGAGTGTTACCCGAATTTGACCGGCGGGTATCTCTGACGAACCGCTGAAAGTTCTTCGGCTAAAGACTGTTCAAAGTGCACCCTAGACTAACCTGCAGAGGCAGTGTCCTGCGCTCAAAACGTGCCTGTCGGTTATCAGCGAACCCCCGCAGAAGTGGGCGCCGCGCCTCGTCAGCGAGACCAACCACGGAAACTCACCCTCGGCCGCATCCTCGCCACCAACCACCTTCGCGGTTCTCCTCTCGCTTCTTCTCCCGCACGCAACATCCGCAACTGCACACATGCCGTAAGCGCAATACTCGTAACACTTCAATACTTACAATTGTGAATCGCCGCTAATCCGGCTGGAAACACGACAAGTACTAAAAACACGAGTTCCATAATGTTGTATTAATTGCAGCTAACTCAATTAGTCGCTAATTTGAGATTGCCGCATTTATATATTTACCAAAGCTAATGGTAGGGTAGGACAGTTATCCTCCAAGGGTAAGTTCGTCAATTTTCAATACCACAGTAATAATTGCATTATCTGTTACCTTCATTTGATTTAAGGCCAGCAGTGTTGCTATTATGATAAGCTTATATGTAAATACACCTTTTTTTTAAAGCGCGTTTGATATCGGCGAATTTACAATGCTAAGGTCAACAGATACATCGAAAGGTTGTCTGGCTTTATTGAGTTTTTTTACAAGGCCTTTAATTATGCTTGTTCCCCCCTCCAACGTTTTAGTTTTACTATTTTGTTAAGATTCTTGCTTTTTACTATATATTAAGTAATAATATTCACGAATGAGAAAGAAATACGATCATGCATCTTTGTAGCTAAATAACAACAAGTTAAAAAGTAATCGTAAATGATCTACATAAAGCGCATTTCCACTTGCATTCATTTCCCATTTGTAAGATGCAACTTCTGTTAAAATCGTAAAAATCCGGCCACAAATATGAAAGATAGCGTTGCACATGAGCAATCCATTTTTGACATGCTATTTCAATTTCAGTTTATAAGAAGAATTTCATTTCAATGCTTTTCTAAATAAGAAAGTTGGAACTGCGCATGCGCAAACCTAAATTTTGAAACTAATGTTAGATTTTCCTTTGTTCCAAGCGCCTAAGTATCAAATTTCACATAAATGCTTCCATAGATAAAAAAGTTGGCACTGCGCATGCGCAAAATAAAATTTTGAAACTGGCGCTAGATTTTCCTTTATTCCAAGTCCCTATGTATCACATTTCATTTAAATTCTTCCATAAATAAAAAAGTTGGCACTGCGCATGCGCAAAACCAAATTTTGAAACTGGCGTTTGATTTTCCTTTATTCCAAGTGGCTATGTATCAAATTTCATTTAATAGTTATTTATATAACAAGAGCGCGAAGTTCAATTTCGCGCATTGAGACTGAAGGTATTTTGACGAGGCGAAGCCGAGTTAAAATATCAGTCAAATGCGCGAAATAACTTCGCGCTAGCGTTATATACAATATTTTTTCTACAACTGAACCAATTGTTAATTAAATTTGCTGTTTAAGTTCAACCTTGTAACGTGCGCGAAATACTTTTTTTCACTGTTGACGATTTCGCGCACGTTGTCAAGGGCAACCTTACTTATTAATTAACCGTTTAAAAATCTAGTACTTCGCGCTTCGAAATTCGTCAGAAAATGACAGGTTTTTTTGACAGTTGTAGAAAAATACTTTTATAATTAATAAAGTTTGCAATTCGGTTTATAAATGGTCGAGATGCGAAAAGGGCACTGTGAATTTTGAATCGATTCAACTCAACTTTTGGCATTGCGTATTATATGGCTAAAGCTATGCCCATATTGAATTTCATGCAATTCAGTTCATAACTAACGGAGATGTAAAAGCGATCGAACATTTCTAAACAAAGTTATCCTTCACACGGACAGATACAGGGACATATAACGTGAGGTTAGTTCGGCGCTGTAAAACTCAAACCCCGCCGCATAAACGGCCAGCTAGCTCAGATTCTTAATTAAAAGAAGGGCTCGAGATGAGAATCTTCCACAGCGGTTTGTTCGTTTGGGCATATAACATAAGTTTTTGATCTTTGGTAGTCACTAGAAATGATTAGTTGAGCGCCACCCAATTTTGCACAAATTCTGACCTCTCCTGTATAGAAATTGGGAAAACACAAGAGAGCCAAATAATAAATTCACTACGAGCAATTCTGATTTATTAATCCTGACAAAACGGTGCAGGATCGGCAAATAAAATGTATCTTCAATACGACAATAACAAATACTTTAAATGACAAAAATAATCCCCAAATAAATTCCTGAACACTTCCCTAATAATTACGTTACCAGACCCCTACAACAATGATCGAGCAAAAATGTAGTTAAGATTTCAATGGATTCAAAGATTGAATTAAGTTAACCCGAATAACAACTCATATAGGCAACACTGGGTACAAGTAAATTAAAAATCTTACCTTGAATAACACATACGCTGTCTTCTCCGAAAAAGAGCTCTCCTTCGAAGTTCCAGTTCTGTAACACAAAAACAAACCCCAAGCTACAACGCTCGGAACGATTATATGAGCCAGAAGGGCCAAAACTAAAATAGCTTACTCGTAGCCGGCTCGTTTACCCATACGTTAAATACAGGTGCGTTGCTCTTGAAGAGAGACACGACCTCAAACACTAGATGCGAACAAAATACAAAGCTCCAATCATAAACCGTCGGAAGGTTACACTAGATTAACGGTATTGAAGCAATTAAAAAAAAAAAAGGTTGTGTAAAAGATCGTATCTTCCGAAAATTCCACAATCAGCTGGTCGCTCCCGGTATCGTTTAGGTGTTAGCGCTTATCTACTCGGTGGTACGCCGGATAGCTGCCGGCAATCAACAGGCGTTCGTACTCCGGAATATTCGCAAGATGCAAATTCATTTACATACAAGGATTCGTCTGTACAAGGATTGACCTACTACATGGATTGACCGGTACAAGAATTCATCTACTACATGGACCCCCTAAAAGTAATGAAGATGTAACACTCCCTAACGAGATTTTTAATAACATACCTGAAATCGTCAGGAGGGTAATGAAAAATACTTAAATCAATGAAATAGGGAAATTATCCAACCTCAAATTGTGAATATGTAGGTAGGGCGATGAACCTCCACCAGATATATAGCCTCGCAATGGAGAAAACGGCTTCTGAGTTACACTACTCGACAACGCCAATAAAAAGGTAAAATTGCCAGAGATTTCACATGAATGATGGCAAATATTACCCACTGGTTTAAGAAGAATTCACAATGCCACGCTCTACAACAAGTACAACCTCGTTGGTTTTAAAACGGAAATGAAGTGAAAAATTAACGCGATTCTGCGCGAGGAAAGAAGCACGCGTACAAGTGACGCCATCTCACCTATATCCTGCCTAACCTAGCAAGCGGTAATTTTGAAATTTGAATAAGAATAAACTAAACTGTTACACCCCCCCTCTCCTTCGACAGGAGGGAAACTACAAGTTTTCCGACGATCGAAAAACTCAGCACACACACTCGAAAAGGAAGCAAACAAATTGAAAACCCGAAAACCCACCCCAGTGTAAAATAACTCCCCCCCAAAGAATTTCACCTTCAAAGAATTTTCCCAGGTTCTCCAGCAGCCGAAAAGGTATGCAAAATCGGGTATTGACATGCCCTCGCGTAAAGATGGAATCTCGCGCCGTCGGGTATCATGACAATAGCAACCCCTTTCCCACAACCCCAATCCAACTACTAGTCACCCCCAAGAAAACCAAATCCAGTGCCCACCCAGAAGAAAGAAACCCTACAGTTTCAAGTGATGCAGCACCAAAATCCCCAAAATAAAGAAACCCCCCTCCCTGACTAAAAACGACACAAAAGCCCAAATTTTGACCCCCTTGCCGAAAAAGTGTAGAAGGAAACCCCCAAAAAGAAGGTACCTTTCCAACCCAACTCCACCATGCACTAGCGCAATGAAATGAAGAAGGTGCTATGGATAGAAGACAGTAAGAGAGAAAGAAGAAATCACATTTGCGGAGAAAAAAACTCATTCATGCCGATTCCAGGGGTCCCATGGTCACCGAGGCTCGCACAGGGAAGGCGCACCCACCCCCTTCCTCTTGTGTGTCAACTACCCATCCATTCAAACATTCATTCATTCTATGGAACGGAAATGGAAGAAAAAGGGCAACCTCTCCCAAATTTCCCCTGAGGAAATTAGAAGAAGAAAAGTGTTTGAGGTGCAGATAGAAAAAGAAAGAAGGAGGATAATGGATCGGGACGAATCCCCTAGCAGGTGTTGTTGCTACGATCCGAGAGTCCATCCCCTGTGCCCAACCAAACCACCCAAAGAGTAAGAAGAAGAAGAAATATGGAACATATAACATATAAATACATATATCAAAGTCAAATCCAAGAATAAGAATACGTCAAAATTAGTGGTTCAAAATCGTCAACAAACAAGCAATCCGGCGACAATAAATGTCTAACCATGATCATCGGGTTCAATATAAGGTTTGAGATCCTGGACGTGCCACGTTCCAGAAGATTTACCATTAGAATCTTTCAACTCATAGGTCAAATACCCCATTTTACGGCTAACCGTAAATGGTCCTAAAAATCTGGGAGCTAACTTCGCTGAATAATCTTTAGTGGCATCAGACAAAGTCTTATTTTTACGCCAAACCAAATCTCCTATCTCATAGTTAACATGCCTACGTCGTAAGTCATAATGTTGCTTGTTGCGGTCATGACTGTCTTTAATGCGTGCAATAATTTTGTCGTACAGTCCTTGCTGTTGCGCTAACCGTTGTTCTACGTCAATCGGCTCATTGTCCGTCATGTCAGTGTCGAAGCTGTCCCCTCGAATACGAAATTCTTTCCCAAAATTAGCACGATAGGGAGTCACACCTATGGTTTCGTGCTTAGAAGTTCGAAGAGCACAAGCTATCGAAGCTAAATGAACGTCCCAATGTTTGTGATTGTTCTTAACGTAAGTGGCTATCAATTGCTTTACCACACGATTCACCCTCTCCGCAGGATCAGCCTGTGGATGATAAAAAGGAGTAAACCGAACCTTTACACGGTAGCTTTCACACAGATCTAAGAAAAGTCTACTGCGCATCTGCACGCCATTGTCACAAATAAGGAATTGTGGAGCTCCATACACAAGAAATACAGAATCTTCAATACATTTGACAAGAGTTTTGGCATTCGCCGTCCTTATGGGAAAAAGAAGTACAAATTTACTCATATAGTCACTAACAACTAATAAATGAGTTCGCCCTTGAGTGGATCGAGGTAAAGGACCAATAAAATCTAAGCTGATCATCTGCCACGGTTCATAAATTTGAGGATGTGAACCCATAAGCCCTGCAGGTCGAAGTTGTTCAGGTTTATGT